AGCCTGTTGAAACCACATCAGGCGATTACATCGACAGACCAGTCGTGATGGATCGGCGGGGCTCCGTGTCGACACTAGGAGGTCACGTCCGGGTGACAGAGAGGTAGATAGCCGAGAGATGGGCCTGGCTCGAGTCTAGCTCAAGGCTAACTGGTGCTAGCTTCCGGACAGTGGTGACTAGCCAACAACAACATCCATTTGGTTGCAGCTAGCTAGTTGCGATGATCCGGTGTTAAAGGTCCAGTGATTCAGTGATTCCGGCAGAAAATCCGATATGTTCTGGGTCGATAGCGCGCTGTGCAGACTGGCCGATAATTGTCCAGGCTAGAGCTGGCTGGTAGGTAGTGCAGGCCATGGACAATGGTGAAAACCGCTAACGGTGCCTATATAGCTCCATTCTTGTGTATTTTATTCCTCTTGTGTTACTATTTTTTGTATTTTTTACTCTGCATCGTAAGCAAGCATTGCACGGTAAAGTCTACCTGTTGTATTCGGTGCATGTGACCAATACATTTTGATTTGAACTGTGAAGAGACTGGCTTTCAGTACCTGAATTGCTCATCAAGAGCCAGTGTCACGCCCTGGCTCTGGGGACTCTCGTATGTTGAGCCAGGGTGTTTATTTTGTTTAGGTTCTAGTCGTTGTCTATCTATGTTGGCCTGAGTGACTCCCAATCAGAGGCAACGAGTGTCAGCTGGTTGTCTCTGATTGGGAGCCATATTTAACTGTCTGTCTTTCACTTTGTGTTTGTGGTTTCTTGTTCTGATTTGGTTTGTGTTATACTGTAGACGTCACGTTATCGTTGTTGTTTTGATCGTGTGATCATTCTAAATAAATATATAATGTTCGCATTCAACGCTGCGCCTTGGTCTCTCCCTGACGATCGTGACAGCCAGTTTACACCCTACTGTTAATTTCAATCTTTGCATGCCTGTCTTTCCTGTCAAAGTACTATTGAAAACAAATAAAATATTATAATAGCAGCCTTTCAGTGTCTGAAAATAGGATATACTTGCAATTGAAAAAAAGTAATTCAATTATAGACTAAATTATATACATTTCATTCATAGTGTCATAGTGTGTAGCAGGATATGCAAATCAAATCAAATTGTATTGGTCCCATATACTGTACATATTTAGCAGATGTTATTGCGGATGTAGCGAAATGCTTGATAAAAGTAATTTCCGGCTGTATGCAATAATGCAAAAGACTTCTGAGCTAATAATTTGAGAAATAACACACACACAAAAACAAATACTGCAAAGTTGCTTAGGAGCCATGAACAGGGTGACCATGTCTATTGGCGCCATCTTGCCATGAAGATGCTATTTACACATGATATTTATAAATGAGTAAAAACCTAATAGGCAAAGAGCACTATGCTATGGAACCCCTGCCGCTTCTGTCATTACAAACACACTGGTTGTCTTACAGCACCCAATTAGAATCTCATTTATTTTTCTCACTATACAACCAGTGCATTTACTCACAGATCAAATCCCTTAGGTTGGCTCATTTGCATAAATTAATAGAGTGGATTCTGATATGCTGCCCTGTGGGGATGAATATACAAGTCTGAAAGCGAGTTGGTAAAATGGCTGCCTTATTTTGGGAAAGTAAATTGAGCCTGCTCGCTTCTGATGTCATTAACTAAATAAAAAACGGATTTGTTGCTGTTAATGTCTTTTTCATTGTTATTACTGCAATAATATGGTCATATTTTATGGAGATTCTAGTTATGAGGCAATATGCCTACAGTGATAATGTTAGCTACAGTTTGCACAATAATGAACCACCACTACCTCTGGCCTTCAGAAGGGGTGTTATCATAACTCTACACCATCCAATGTATTCCTTTTGTAAAATTGCATAAACTATATATCAAAAGTATCTACAAATAAATGGGAAATCACAAACAATAAACTGGTTTATAGTAAAGTCTGATTCCTAACTTCAGACTTGAAACTTGGGTGTCACGACTTCCGCCGAGGCTGCCTCCCCTCCTTGTTCTGGCAGGTTTCGGCGTTCATCGTCACTGGCTTACTAGCTGCTGCCGATCCATTTATCATCACTCCACTTGTCTTGTCTAATTAATCACACACACCTGGTCCTTATCCCCAATTAGTCATTGTATAAGTGTTCCCTCTGCTTCCTTGTCTGTGTGGATGATTGCATGTAGTGAGCTACCGGTACCTTGATGTTGCCAGGGTAGATATTTCCCCTGTGCCTGAGTTTAGTTGTCGCATGCTTGCGCAACTGTTTAGGGCATTTTTCAAAGGAGCCAAGATCTTGGCTTGATCATCTCAAGACCTTTGTGCTCAGATAAGAGAAAACAACATGTTCTTGCCAAACCTAAATGGCACTCTGAACTATAGCAGTATAGTACAAGGCCTTACATATGATGTAATATTGGAAATACATTAGCGTAACATCTGTATTGTTATTGGGTTATTACTGTATTTGTGCTGCTGCTCATATTCTCTGAAAACATTTGCTAGATGAATGTCTCCCACATGTAAAGCAAAGGCTTAAGAGCGAAGAGAGATGATTTCCCTTGCAAAGTGGCCCACAAATACTCAGCTGTTACACTGAGACCAGTGGCAGAGGGTGCCAACAAACCCAACCACCACACAATGGCTAATAGCTATTGTATAGCAATCAATCAATAAAATAACTATATAAACACTATTCTTATGAATGAGACTCAAAGTGCTTTTGCCCTCAACATTATTATTCATAAAAATGGAAGTGATTCCATTGTCACTTGTTTGTTCATTTCCATAGTGATCACGTCCCATAATATAATGATCAGCAACTTCATGAAAAGCAGCATTAAGCATAGGGTTTAAGGACACATGGTGACTGGTTTGAAGTACTCATTATAAGGATGGGAGAGTGTAAATGTATTAAGAAAAGTGATGACTGAAAACAGATAATATAAATCAAGTACTCCTTTATTTTCAGTGTGTCAGCAATAAAGTACATCAATTGATATCATAAAACATAACTGCTTTCTCAGTACTCAGATTCAGTTAGACTGCATGTTAGAATCCAGCATAATTAAGTTTTAGTTACAGCAGACAAAATGTCTCACTTAAAATTGTCATAAAATATCAATTTATGAATTGTACTTACAATATTTCTCAAATAAATCATTGGACAATCTTATTATGAAAATATTTTTCATACAACTATACACATTGTGTATTATTGCACAATGTCCATTCTTAAAAACGTTCCATTTCGTGGTAAAAATGGTCAAGGCAAATGACATATCTGTGGACGTTCTCTTGCCATTTGACATCAGTTTCTAAAGTAGTAATGTTCAAACAGGGTTGAAAGAAAGGGGACAGATTCACAATAATAACAGGAAGAAGGCTGCAACACAAACACAATGATACATACACTACATAGCCAAAAAGTATGTGGACACCTGCTCGTCGACCATCTCATTCCAAGAGTCTAAGGCACTGCATCTCAGTGCTTGAGGCGTCATTACAGACCCCCTGGTTCGATTCCAGGCTGTATCACAACCGGCCATGATTGGGAGTCCCATAGGGCAGCGCACAATTGGCCCAGCGTCGTCCGGGTTTGGCCGGTGTAGGCCGTCATTGTAAATAAGTATTTGTTCTTAACTGACTTGCCTAGTTAAATAAAGGTTAAATAAAAAATAAAGATCATGGGCATTAATATGGAGTTAGTCGCCCCTTAGCTGCTATAACAGCCTCCACTCTTATGGGAAGGCTTTCCACTAGATGTTGGAACATTGCTGCGGGGACTTGCTTCCATTCAGCCACAAGAGCATTAGTGAGGTCGGGCACTGATGTTGGGCGATTAGGCCCGCAGTCGGTGTTCCAATTCATCCCAAAGGTGTTCAATGGGATTGAGGTCAGGGCTCTGTGCAGGCCAGTCAAGTTCTTCCACACCGATCTCGACAAGCCATTTCTGTCGCTTTATGCACGGGGGCATTGTCATGCTGAAACAGGAAAGGGCCTTCCCCAAACAGTTGCCACAAAGTTGGAAGCACAGAATCGTCTAGAATGTTATTGTATGCTGTATCGTTAAGATTTCCGTTCACTGGAACTAAGGGGCCAAAACTGAACCATGAAAAACAGCCCCAGACCATTATTTCTCCTCCACCAAACTTTACAGTTGGCGCTATGCATTCTGGCAGGTAGCGTTCTCCTGGCATCCGCCAAACCCAGATTTGTCTGTTGGACTGCCAGATGGTGAAGCGTAATTCATCACTCCAGAGAACGCCTTTTCAGTGCTCCAGAGTCCAATGGCGGCGAGCTTTACACCACTCCAGCCGACGCTTGGCATTGCGCACGGTGATCTTAGGCTTGTGTGCAGTTGCTCGGCCATGGAAGCCCATTTCATGAAGCTCCTGACTAACAGTTATTGTGCTTACGTTGCTTCCAGAGGCAGTTTGGAACTCGGTAGTGATTCTTGCAACCGAGGACAGACGATTTTTACTCACTTCAGCCCTCGGCGGTCCCGTTCTGTGAGCTTGTTTGGCCTACCACTTCGCGGCTGAGCCGTTGTTGCTCATAGACGTTTCCACTTCACAATAACAGCACTTACAATTGACAGGGGCAGCTCTAGCAGGGCAGAACTTTGACGAACTGACTTGTTGGAAAGGTGGCATCCTGTGACGGTGCCACGTTGAAAGTCACTGAGCTCTTTAGTACAGGCCATTCCACTGCCAATGTTTGTCTATGGACATTGCATGGCTGTGTGCTCGATTTTATATACCTGTCAGCAATGAGTGTGGCTGAAATAACCAAATTTACTTTTGGCTATGTAGAGTACGTTCAAATTCTTAAGACTAAGAAACACTAATTTTCAAATATTTCATATTGCCCTTTAAACCCATTTGTTTCAAGTAGTGTATACCTACACAATACCCTTTCCACAACACCCTCCACCTCCAAGGCCCTGCAGCCCAGTAAATCATTTTAGTGTGCCCATGCCCACACTGTCCATCAGCAGGCCAGGGTTATGCCCCTGCCTCTGTCTCCGCTCTTTCTGGGCCTTTGCCTGCTCTGTGCAGCCCGGGCCCCAGGGCCATGTTGTTGAGGTTCACCAGCTCGCGGCGGTGGGACAGCATGGTCACCATGTGCTCCAGCTTGGAGCGGATGGTGGAGTAGTGATACTGACGCTCTTTGGTCAGCTTGTGGAAGCACTCCCTCAGGTTCCCATCGGGGGCGCGGTACAGTGACAGATTGCAGGACAATGGTCCACCCCATGGGAGGTGAGGTGCTGCCTGGGGAGGTAGAGATGTAATCTGAGGAGGAGGCAGCTTCATTCTGGATGTTGTTGGTCTGGTTATTGGTGGTGGTAAAGGGGGTAACTGTAGCCTTGTTGGGGGAGAGGCGGTTAGTGTACTGAGTCAGATCTGTCTGCACTCCACTGTCCACCATGGGGCAGCTGGTCTGGGTGGAGACATGACGGGGAGTGGGGGGGTGTGACCAGCACATCCACTGCTACTGTGACAGTGGCAGGGTCACCTGTAGGCAGGCACCGGGCAGCACTTCCAGCCAGGATCTCCTGCATGTGCTGCCGCTCCATCCAGTCTTCCCCTATGGTGGAGGACTCCGAGACCGGGCTGCTCTTACGGCCCCTCTCCCCAGTCTCCTCTCTGGGGGGCAGCACTGCCACAGCCTGGGCCCGGCTGGGTGTGATGGTCAGACAGACAGTTTTTCCCAATACTTCCAGACAAACAGGCTCGACTGGGGTCCTTTCTCTGGCCGGCTGAGGGGATGAGGTGGCGGGGTGTTTGATGAGCAGGTGGTCGTAGATGCCACTGTTTCGGGCACTGGCTGGGCCCCTGGTAATAACAGGCATGGACTTAGCGTACAGGAAGCGGAACTCCTCATCAAAGTTCTCAGTGATCTGGCCAGACAGCTCAATCAGGTTGCTGCTGTTTAGTTCCCATCAGTCCAATTAATGTTAAGAATGTTATCAAAATGCTTTACAGTTTTATACCCCATATCAGTCAAATAAGGATGGCTAGGTCACTTACAGTAGCTTGATTCATACAAGTGGAAAGTATTTAGTCATGTTTTATTGCTTATTGCTCGGGGGTCTTGTAAAAAAACAGGGACGTTTTTCAATGCTATACTGTATAATGACTTTTTAGTAAAGCAGGACATCTTTACCTGTAGGAGCCAGTAGCCACTCTGTTCCCATCAATCAACATGAACCGTTCATTAACCTTTCCTGTAATCTTGGCTCCTGATCTCATGAAGTACGTACCACCAGTTATGGTCCGCACTAGCGTTTGCTTTAATGAGGATTGAAACAAAAACAGTATGAAATACAAGCCAGTCACTGGTCACTTATAAAACATGTATACAGCATGATCATGCTACTAAGTCATAAAAAATCAATGTTTCCATTGATCATGAAAACAATGCATTATATGACCATCAGTTTCATTGCATTTGAATAAAATGCATTGAAACTGTAATCATGGCTTATCCTGGTGCTTATCGGAGATACGACACAACACAAAGGTGGAGTCATCACAACCACATACCCGAAGCTCGTCCAGGCGCACATTGATGTTGTTGCACATTTTGAGGAATGTGGGCACACATGAGTGGTCCAGCAGGATGTAAACTGGAACTCTGTGCCACGTGCACGCACGCCTCCTGAAGATCCTTGAAGATGCCCAGGTCTGTCAGAGAGTCTGTCACTATGGCAATCACCTGTAATGGTACATCAATCATTGGTTAGTCAAAGCACCATTCAGGTCCAGTTTACAATTTAAAATAGGCTGCTCTTCTGCCTTACTATTTGTGAGGCAGGGTCACTCTGAATGGGCTCTTATACGTGCTTGTGCCCACAAACCAGGTCTTTATCAAACATTAAGAAGGAGAAAACACTGAGGCGGCTCCTCTATTGGCCACACTCTCTCTGTCGTGTACTTAAATGATCCTTGCTTGCAGTCAACTGTGGTCTGTTGCCATTGCAATCATATGTAATGCTTGGTCAGCAAACAAATGAGTTTCTATGACAGGGACAATCAGGCTCATCCTGCTGATGTCTGACCTCATCTTCTTCAGAAGCAGGCTAGAAATGTGTTGCATTGATGTTAGCTTTCCTTGATAAAATTGTATTTTCTTGTTCCCTCTCAAGGATAATAACTCAATAGCCTACAGATCAAGGGGCATTTTCTAAATTGTTATTCTCAAACTGATGCTGAGCAACTATAAGGCCTGAAGCAGAGAGAAATAAAATTAATTGCAACTCAATTCTGATATCTCCACTTTAGCTGTAAATCTACCTACAGCGCACCTGCACACAGAGGCAGATCGACACCCAAGGCTAAGCATTAAGAAAAGAGCACACCAACATTATTAAATGTGAAAAGCATGTTCAGACACATTCATCGATGTACTATTACTGTAGGTGCTCCTCTGAACCACAGACTTGGAGTTTGGTGCCCTTTCCTCATTCTCCATTCTGGAACGTTAACTCATCAGGATGGTAAGGAAACTGCATTAAACTGACAGTTTGAACATGTCCAGAAATGTGTTGAGTTTGAACATGTAACTAACACTAATGGGGTTCTTTCTTTTGTCTGACCTTTATGAGCAAGTATCTACTGCTTCTTAAAATGGGTGATATAGTTTTCTATAAGAAACTGTGAATTATAAAGAGGAAAAAAACAATGCTTTTGAGAAGCTGAACATCAAACAGTATAAAGGTTAATCCAGACCTCACCAATATTTATATACCAGACCAGTCAGTCACCCAGTGAGCACCGTCCGACTCCGACGTCCAAGGACATTTAAATTTGGCCCGTCCGCCCTGGCCTTGATTTCAACGTCCACAGATGTTGTTTTTTTGGACCAGACTCGATTTAGCCCAAACATAGACGTCAGCTAACAATTGTTAGATTGGTAAATTAGTCTAGTCAGCTATCTAAACTTGTAGTAAACATGGCCGAAAATCACTGGTCACGTGCCAGGGGGCCCCGCATTGATTTTGTTAGTCACTCTTACTAAGATATCATTAACATGGCATAAGTCATGGCAAAATGTGTAGAATTGCAGGAAATTAGCTTTAAAACATAAATAATGTCTCTCCACCCCATGGCAAAATGGGTAGAATTGCAGGAAATGAGCTGTAGAACTGCAATTTTTCTCTCTCTGCCCCATGGCAAAATAAGTAGAATTGCATAGCATTTTATATAAAATTTACAAAATGTCTCTCCGCCTCATGGTAAAATGTGTAGAACTGCAGAAAACCTGCTTTAAAACTGAGAAATCCAGTCATGGTCTCAACTTACTGTTAAGAGTTACAATAGTAGAATTCACAATGTGAAAGTTATAAATTTGATTGTGCGTCAGAAATGTCTCTCTTGTTATGTCACTCAATTAGCCATGTCAGCTAACAATTTTTAGATAGGTAAATTAGTCTAGCCAGCTATCTAAACCAAATCTCGTTTAGGAGGGCCCCCAAAAGGATAGAGCCGACCCTGTGTGGCTGGTTTGAATTTTACATCCGAGGTGTGCTAAATTCAGTAAAATACAAAATGGGTCCTTCCATATAACGTTAGACCTATAACATTAATCTGTATCACTAAACAACACACAATTTATTATCTCCTTGGCACTTTTTATCATTATTCTCGCAGCTTCCTTGTAACTATAGATGCATTCCCCATAGCTGGGTTGGAAGTGTGCCAAGGAGGCGGGCCAGCCGATTTCCAACAGCTGTGGCTCCACGTCCGAGACCTCGGGAAAGTAAGTAACAGAGGAGCAGTCCATGGAGCTACTTACCGACTGCTCAATAATTACGTCCTCCCGGTGGAGGGACACACAGCGTGGAACCACCGCAGCACTGCCAATCTGTTTGATCTCGTCATCGGAGAGAAAGTTCGGAATTTGCTATTTTCTTAGAAATTCCAAAAAGGAATCAACTCCACCTGAAATAAGCTCCTCTAACGCTAGTCGGTGTTTTTAGTTGTACAACTCCTGTATATTCAAATAATTTCCTGTCTTGTTGACCGCCACCTTCCAGGTGAATCTTCTAAACATTGCAATAGAGCCATAATGTTACTATTTAGAATAGACTGTAACCATTAAATTAAGGGTCCCTCCGATACGCGTGATGCAATGTAGCCAGAAGAAGCAAATTTGTATTTTGCGTTTCACTCAATTCCAGATCATCCGTAGTAGGCATTGGTTACTCGAAGGTTGTGGAACCAGATTCGTGTACACAAGCATGCGCTTTAGAGCGCTCTGCTAAACGCGCTCGCTCATTGGCCAGCAGTTTGAATTTGGAGCCAAACAAGTAGTATCCCGTATCCACTCTCAAATCACGACCCCAAATGCCCGGACTACGGTAGCCTACTGTAGGCTACATTTTGTCACACCGAAGACTCACGACTAAAGTCCTATATATCATATGCAGTCCTGCCTGAGCATTTTGGTGTCAGGTAAAATGTATGGGAGTAAAAAGTACATATTTTCTTTAGGAATGTAGTGGAGTAAAAGTAAAAGTTGTCAATAATATAAATAGTAAAGTAAAGTACAGATACCCCCAAAAACTAATTAAATATACTGAACAAAAACATAAACGCAGCATGCAACAATTTCAAAGATTTGACTGAGTTACAGTTCATATAAGGAAATCAGCTAATTGAAATAAATTAATTAGGCCCTAATCTATGGATGTCACATGAATTAGTTTTTCCCCACAAAAGGGCTTTATTACAGACAGAAATACTCCTCAGCATCCCCCTGTGTGATGATCATGCTGTTTATCTTGGCAAAGAGAAATGCTCACTAACAGGGATATAAACATATCTGTGCACAACATTTGAGAGAAATAAGCTTTTTGTGCTTATGGAACATTTCTGGGATTTTTTATTTCAACCCATGAAACATGGACCAACACTTTACATGTTGTGTTTATATTTTTGTTCAGTGTAGCATGTTACTTTAACATATGTTTTACTTAAGTAACCTACTTTACAACACCACTGCTAGGAAGGGAGACTTAAAACGGGATCGAGTGAAGTAGCAGAAAATATGTTGAATAAGCAACTAATGAGCATGGAGAGCCTCAGTCACTATTTATTTACTTACTTTTGTAGCACTTAGTCAGAAGCACACATTTTGTTAGTAGGGCCTAACTGGAATTTAGCCCGAAAGGATTTAAGAAAAATGATTGGTTGAGATAGGCCTATGACATTGGCCTACATCTTGTCTTGCGCTGCGCGAATATCAGATTTCCACTATGATTGGAGAAGTGTTTATCACCAGTCAATTTAGACTACCACATCCTTATGATATCTTTCCATAAACGCAACGTGACTGCAAGAGACAGGTTGGAATGTCTGACTGAAATACAGGACAAATCAACCTTTTTTCTAAATTTGTGGTGTTTGAATTTGTTGATAAAATGCGGGTCATGATCGTTTGGTTGCTGGGCGCGGGACAAAGGGCCCAAATGCGGGACTGTTCCGCACAATCCGGGACATGTGGTCACCCTGATCATGACTGTGTAGCCTTAATCTCTCGTGGACAGACTATACGTAAAGCATCTGACCAATTAGGCCAACGCGTGACTTGAGTTTTGGATTAACCCATTTAATCCAATTGGTCACAATAGTGAAATATTTGTTGTTGTTGTACTTTACAGGCTCTAGAAAAGTTAAAGTTGTACTTATAAGTAATGTATTATGCATTATTAAGGTGTCTAGTATGTTTCAAATAAGTTTCATATGATTCCTCAAAATGGTCACAAGGCCACAAGCATAAATCTCCAAGGTGTACTTTTACAGACGAATTTGGCACCAGAAGTCTGTATTGAACAGCTTAAAAAACAAATACATTGTTGAAATGTTAAAATATTTTCTTTGTAAATATAATGTTTAAAGGGTCTAGTTAACATATGTGCCTTCATTTCATTTCAATACATTGAATCCATGATGCTGGTGGTAGGACTATGAAAATATCTTAGGGGTCACATTTGTGACCAATAGGAAAATACATTGGCTCTAATTTATTATATATATTTCATCAGAAGATTATTTATTTTTTCAGTAGATTGAAGTTGAGTTGTGTTATGGATATACTTGATCAAGAACATCTTACAGATAATTTTACTATTATCCATCAGACTTTTCATATGTTTAAATCAGTGATTTTGACTGTAAAACCATGGGGCGGCGCACAATTGGCCCAGCGTCGTCCAGGGTAGGGGAGGGAATGGCCGGCAGGGATGTAGCTCAGTTGGTAGAGCATGGCGTTTGCCACGCCAGGGTTGTGGGTTCGATTCCCACGGGGGTATGAAAAAAAAAATGTTTGCACTCACTAACTTTAAGTCGCTCTGGATAAGAGCGTCTGCTAAATGACTAAAATGTAAATGTAAATGAAAAGTAATATTTTGTTATTTCAGGGGGAATTGGCCATGTATAGACCCATAAACTGAATTAGTGTAATAACTTAACAAACATGTTATATCAATAGGTTTGCTTAGTGTCTCTTGCACAATGGTAGACCTGGTTTGTAGAATAGTCACAAGGGTAGAACTGTTTTGTCAGAGTATTGGGGCATAGCCACAGGCGTAAACCTGGTTCACATGGGTATTTGGGCTGAGATATGCAGGTGTAGACCTGGTTTGTAGAAGTACTGGAGCTGAGGTGCAGGGGTAGACCTTGTTTACAGTTTGAGTATTCAGGCTTCGGCATATTTACACCTGGCTTAGTTGACTAATTGGGTTCAAGCACAGGTGCAGACTTTGTAGGTATGTACATTGATCTGAAGTACCTGTGTAGACCTGTTTGTATGAATATTGGGATTGAAATGCAAAAGTACACCTATTTGTATGACAATTGGGGCTGACATGTAGCAGTAGACCTGTTAAAAATAAAATCTATATTGGGTTAGACGTGCAGGTGTACACCTGGTCTGTAAGAATATTTGGGCTGAAGTACAAGTGTAGACCTGGTTTGTATGAATGTTGAGACTGCCCATGGATTTACCTGGTTTATATGAGTAATGGGGTGTAGGGATACACAAGGCTCATACAGGTAATGGGTCTGGATGAACGTCTATTGCCCATTCAAATCCTCTGTAGGAAAAAAGTGAATGAGGCTGGGTCACGTGTTATACCACTGTACTATGAGTTTATCTCTGAAATTATTATTGTATACAGGTCAGAGGTCGCAGGACTAAGATATGCAAATAACAGGGTTGGGGTGTGCAGTGAATAGCTGAATATAGGCTACTGTTGGTGACTTGGGGAATACAGGCCTAAGGAATCTGGGTAACAGGGCTGAGATAGGCAAGTAACAGGGATGAGGTATATTGACAAAGGAACTGGGGTCTATGAGTAACAAATTGGGCATTTAGTAGGGTGTCCAATAAAAAAACGCAGATTTTGACCAATGGGTAAAATCTCATGTCTCTATCATAATCCGTTCCAAATTTATTGGAATTTTTACCCTTGTAGGATATTCAAAATCAGGGCGACTAAATCAATGGGGGCCAGAGAAAAAAAAAGTGGCCATAAATCAGGAAAATAGCATCGTGTCAGCTAGGCTAGATGCTGTGCGAGAATTAAGGCTACCTGACAGGTTTACTATTGAACTCGTCATTTTTCTTCTCAAATTCGGAGGACATAAAACAATATAGAGGTAAGATAAATATTGATTTTGAGACATGACATGTAGTATTTTCATATTTTAATATACGCTGTTCATATTAATGTTAAGTTCATGTTCTTTTTCGAAGACTTCTCACCAAAACAAGTGTATCTCTGTGAAATGTCAACGGAGCAGTGAGCTTACCTCAAGCTTTTTATTTTCAAAGCCTTTTACATTTAATTCAGCTCGTGTCATGCTAATTTTGCTATTTGCGACCCCAGACACAACTTGGAAGGCGACGACCACAAAATGTAAAATCCTCAAAAGTTTCAGCGATAAAGCTGCAATGTGCTGTTTACAAAGCTTGGTGCTTAGGCTATTATCAGATGTATTAGGTTACGAAATCCGACTTTTTGGATATACATGTAATGTAAATTATATGTCAGAGAAAGACCCCACTGAACGATTCAGAACATGAATAATCATATTTGTCTTGGTAAAATGTATTTTATAACATATAGAAGTGAAATGTCATCACCAAAGCGCGTTTTCACCGGGTGGATACCCTACATTTAGGGCTACGATATGGGTGTATCGGTAAGATACTTGATTGTATCAATATTAGGGTATTGGAATGTGGGTGTTAGGGTTAAGGCATGGGGATAACAGGGCTGGGGTTTGTGGGTAATTAGGTTTAGGTGTGTGGGTAAGTGGGCTGAGTTACATAGATATTGGGGCTGAGGAATAGGGGAACAAGTCTGTAAATTTTATTATAGGCAGAGCACTGTATTTCCCCATCGGTCACAATTGTGACCGAGAATAAAACGTACTTTATTTTATTTTTTTACATACTTTTCTATATATATATATATAATGTTAGGGTTACTAATGGCATAAGATTTGAAATGGCATGTCTGGGGGAAATGTGGGAACAAATGGGTTAACCGAGATTAGTATAGGTTATGCCTGAAAATTCAAAAAATGAAACTATAGTGTTGTTGGCAATCAAAATAATACTTCACCTAGAAATTCAAATGATGGACGCAATGTCCCCATATGCCTCAATGCCACATATTGGAGCCTTCTTTTCTTTCTTTTTTTTTTTTTACACACAAGTAGGCTATGAGTGACACTGTAGACCTACATTTGGACAGACACGATGATGGTTCATGGTAGGCCTTTAGGTATAGACATGGCCAGGCTACGCTATATGATGATAAAACAACAAGAACAAGTCTAATTGGCTGACTTATCATGACATTGATTCCTAATATTTAAAAGAACACCAGCCCA